TGGACAGATGGGTACCAAGCTCCAAATGACGTCAGGGAATCACCCTGGGTCAAATGGTCAGGCAAAACAAATGAACCAGGTAGTACAGCATCTGCTTCGGCATTATATTAAGCCAAGTCAGGATGACTGGGACGAGAAGTTCTCTCTCGTCGCTAGTCTGTACAACAATGTTGTGCACAGTACTACTGGTATGACTCCCAACCAGCTGCATCTTGGTTGCAAGCCCAAAAGTGCACTTGACTTTCTGCTACCAGAAAGGCAACCCACTGCAGCACCTAGCAGCATAGAGTTTGCTGTCGAGTATGAACAGATGTTGCAGCAGGCCATTGAACATTATGAAGTCTCGAGATGCTATGATCGCATCTGAGAATAAACATAGACGACCCTCTAACTTTTAGGTAGGTGATAGAGTCTGGGTAAAGTCATCTGAACTGGGTCAAGAGATGGGGATTTCACGAAAATTGATGCCACAGTACTTTGGGCCCTGAGAGATCTTAGACATTGTAGGGGATCAACCGGATGGGCCTTCATACGTGATTCGCATTCCTCCACACTTGCGTACTTACCCTGTTTTCCATGCATCCAAGTTGGCACCTTTCGCTGTCACAGATCAGTTTCCCTCCAGGAGATCAATGATACCCCCAACCATGGATGGCGAAGTGGACATAGACCAGATCATGGAGCATGCTAGTTCCTCGACCACCGGGCAGAGGCCGCCCTCCTAAGCCAAAAATCCAGTACCGGGTCAGATTCAGACATCATCTGGACCCCAGCGAAGATCGGTGGTTCACCGGAGAAGAACTCATGAGAACCGCACCTGTCATTGCAGGCTATGAAAGAGATCTCAAAGGGACGAGGCCTGTAGAATAGAAAACTTCTCAGAGGACTATCGAAGTACAAGAGGAGGGAATGCCAGGATATGGGTCCCAGCAGGCCTAAGGGGCCCCCTGCAGCATATGTGCCCGCCCTAAGTGAAGGCGGGCCTAACAAATCACGAGAGGCCCTTGGCTGTCAATTTCGCATTTGGGGTCCAGGCAGTTTCGTCCCGCCAGTTGGTTGAAGGGAAACACAGGCCGAGCAGCGTGGAAATTCCAGGCCTTCTAGGCTTTTCCGAAAGCACACGCCCTGGGCGAGGTTAGCAGCCTTATACACAGACAGTTGGGAGGACCAACCGAATGAGGCCCAGTAGCTGCACTAGAGGCGCTGCATCCTGGGGCCTACCGGAAGCTTCTGGGCCCAGGCTAGTCCAGTAAGGCTGCCGAATGAGGCAGGCTCTTTCCATGTAGGAAAGAGCTCGCTGCCTGGCCAGCCATTCGGGCACTTGCATGCTGGCGGCAGCGCTGCTGGAGCTGAAGCTCGTGGGCTGCTGCTAGTGCTGAGCGGCGAGGTGCAGGCATGTGCAGTCGTGCAGGGAGCAGGGCGCTGCTGAGGGCAGTGCCATATCCCAGCCTCCATAGCTGGTAGTGAGGCGCAGGGGTGGTCTTTGGGTGTACAACAAAGGGAGACGTGGGAGAGAGTCAAGGGGGAGAGAGAAGGATGATGATGATGATGTGAGGGAACATACCTGGTATTGGCGATGGTTCTGCATGGGTGACATCTTCAAGTACGTCGGGTGCTGCTGACATCAACAACTGCATTGTCAATTAGTAGGCTAGTAGTAGCTGTGTAGGGAGTAGGCAAGGCACCAAGCGCCAAGTAGGGAGATAGAGACTGGATACATATGGTGGTGGTGGCGAGAGCAAGCTCTCATTGACATTGACTTTCAGTGCTACGATTCTCCAGTGGTGTTATATTGGTGCAATGCTGCTTCCTGAACACTGTGTTACGATTTGGCTTTCAATGTGATCGTGCAATCTGAATATTGTCATCTCACTTCTGTTTATTTTCCTACAGAAGTCTCCCAAAGCTTTTATAATTTGGTGTTCCAATTCTCTGGTATGGTGTGAATCTTCGTGTAAACTTCCATGGTTGCATATCTGTTTGAGGGGGAAATTGTGCAAGGAACATGAATATGGACGAAGCACAGAAATCCAGATTGCAAAATCACACTGAAGTCCATGTAGTCAAAGCCAAAGCAGATAGCAAAATGGAACCAAGTAACCATCCATTTGAGAATGATACAGAAGAATCGTGAGTCAATGTCCAAGCCCAACAGGGCAACACCAACAGCATAACCCAATGTAGCTCTCTCTTGTGAATGGCGCCAGGCGCCCTATCTACTCTACAACCTAGCCTACAACTACAGCAATGAAAGCAACCAAACAACTTGACTACCAGCGAGTGATGATGTCAACACCAATGCCGACCTCCACCTTCACCAAGTACGTGTCCTCTTCACCCACACTCTCCCTTGTACCCACACAGCGCCCTTCACCTCCGAAGAACCACCTTCACCCTTCACCTCCACTGCACCCTCTTGCGGCCCGGCTATGGCCGCCAGTGCCCTGTGTGCAGGCAGCGCCCTATCGCCTAGCGCTAGCCTGCCTCCACCCAGCACAGCGCAGCACACTTGCATTCGCGCAGCGTGCCCGCAATGCCTGCATTGACCAAGCTCCCTGCCCACTCGCCCTGCTTGCCTATATGCCAGTGTTGCGTGTGGGCGGCCCCCCTTCAGCCTGCGTCTGGGCCCCAGTCGATGAACCGAGGCCCGATACAGTTGAGGCCCGGGGGATGCAGTTGCACCTCTTTCGTCAAGGCCTGCGGCCAGATTCAGATAGTGGGCCGATTTCCCTTTGGCATTTTCGGCCTCTATACCCAGCATGCATTGTCGGCCTCACGTTCAAGTACCGTGGGCCTAACTAACTCAGAGGCCCTGGGTTTTCAGCATTTGCTGAAATCCTAGACTCGGTGCACTCCAACCAACTGGCGTGCTGCAACTGTATGGACCCCACTTTGTGAAATGTTGGCACCAGAGAGTGCAAACGGGTAACCGTTGCCCGTMCCCGGCCGTACCCAACTGTAACCGCCTGGTTACGGCCGGGTATGGGTACCCTTTTTGAAAGGAAAGTTGGGTATGGGCATGCACAAACAAAAGGTGGTGGTTGTTAGGGCGGGCAGAGGTGCCCTTTTTGGAGATCATGCGTGGGTAGGGGCAGGTAGGGGTAGGGGTAAAAAATATATATATGGGTATGGGCAGCCAGAGAAAAAAAAATAGACGGGTATGGGCAGGTATGGGTGGCCATGCAGGCTTTGTATTTTTGCACAAGCGTGACGCGTTTCTCATATTCCAAATTTTGCGCTTTCCCATGAAGCAAACGTTTCTTTATCGCAAGGGTGAATTTTATATCTCTTCACTTTTTTACTTTTTGTTTTTCAAATTTTCATACTACTTTCATATGTGTGTAACCCTGTGTATGTAATATTTATGTGTTTTTTTTTTGTTTTGTTTTTGTTTTTGTGCGTGTTGTGGGTGCGTGTGTGTCTGTGTGTGAGAGTGTACGTGTGTGCGATAGGCCGAGGGTTGTTGCATTCGCAAATGCTATATAGGTTGCATAGGCTGCTGTCGCACCAGGTGCATCCATAGCAGCATTACAATTGTTGTTGTTGTGGCAGTACCTGCAGCAACTGCCACATCTCGAAAACAATAAAATAAAATAATAATACCAATAATAATAATAATTACCCGTTCAATCCTGTGACGTCCAGGGGGGTTGGGGACAATTGGAGGCGGTTAAGGACAACTAGGGGCGGTTAGGGTCGGTTAGGGACAGTTAGGGGGACAGTTAGGGGACAGTTAGGGACAGTTAGGGGGACAGTTAGGGACAATTAGGGGCGGCTAGGGACACCTAGGGCAGTTAGGGACAGTGAGGGGTGGTTATGAGCAGTTAGAGGAGGGTGGGTGACGAGCACTTACAATTATGGGTAGGTATGTGTGGGTACAGGTAATGAAAACTTGGGTAGGGTAGGGTATGGGTGGTTAACAAACAGTTTGGGTTCAGGTGGCCATGGGTGGTTTTGAAAAAAATTGTTCATGGGTAGGTATGGCCAGTTACGTGCTGAAGAGTTTCAGGTAGGGTAGGTCTGGGTGTACTTTTTTTTTCTTTTTAAGCAGGTGGAGATGGGTAAAGGTCCGGCCGGCCAGGTATACAATGGGTATGGGTGGTTGGCTTTCAAAGAGGGTGTGGTTAGGTCAGGTACAGGTATTCCTAAAAATCCCAGTTGCGAACTCTGGTTGGCACAGATGGTTGTTGTTGATTTGCTGGCCCGCCTTCACTTAGGGCGGGCGCGAGGCTTGCTGGGGCTTTAGCCCAGAACATGTACATCATGGCAAGGCCCCTACTTGAGGGCTCAATCCTCACATTCCATCCCCCTTAGCTTCGAAAGTCCGTTGAGATGCTTACTTCGCAGGTGCCTTCTCTTTCAGCTTCTTCTCATATTTTGCCACCACCTGAGGAGTTGTGTCAATCAGTTCCTCTCTGGTGAACCACCGGTCTTCCTTTGGATCCGTATGATGCCTGAATCTGACGCGATATTCTCTCTTGGGTTTAGGTGGTCTTCCTCTACCCAATGGCTTCTGAACAGGCAGATCTTTGTGATCCACAATGTCGTCGATGTCAACTTGACCATCCATGGTTGGGGGCAGCATCGATCTCCTGGAAGGGAATTGATCTGTCTCAGCGAAAGGTGCAAGCTTTGAGGCATGAAAGACTGGGTGAGTGCGTAGGTGTCCAGGGACACGAATGACATATGTGGGACCATCTATCTCATCTCCCACTATATCCAGGACTTCCCAGGGACCAAAGTACTGAGGCATTAGTTTGCGAGAGATTCCGAATTCCTGTCCTAACTCACTAACCTTGACCCAGACACGTTCCCCTACCTGAAATGTGGACTGTCTACGGTGTTGATTCTCAGAAGCAATCATTGCTTGCTGAGCTTTCTTTATGTGCTCGACAGCTTCTTGCAGCAACTTCTCATATTGCACACCATACTCAAGTGTGCCTGGAATTGCAGCGGGTCGGTTTTCGGGTAGGAGGAAGTCTAACGCTGATCTAGGCTTCCATCCCAAGTGAAGTTGATTAGGACTAACGCCGGTACTGCTGTGGACAACATTGTTGTACAGGCTGGCGATGAGAGGCAACTGCTCATCCCAATCATCCTAGCCGGGCTTGATGTAGTGCCTCACCAAGTGCTGTACAACTCTGTTCATTTGCTCGGCTTGTCCGTTGGCTTCGGGATGATTTCCTGAAGTCATCTGAAGTTGATTGTCCATCTGTTCTGCGGTTTTCTTCCACAACTCACTTGTGAATCGGACATCTCGGTCACTAATGATTGACTTTGGTAAACCAAAGTCACGCACCCAGTTGTCTTTGAACAACTTGATGACATAGTCAGTTCTTGCGGTCTCTGGCATAGCCACAAGTCTAGCGTACTTGGTGAATCGATCGATGATGACGAAGATGTGCCTCTTGCCACTCTTACTAGTAACAAGGGTGTCCATGAAATCCATGGAAACACTCTGTCCTGAACGAGCAGGAATAGGCAACGGCTTCAATAACCCAAGCGGTGCTTGAGTTCGCGGCTTGTCCCGTTGACAGACCTGACAGGTCTCTACGTACTTCTTTGCGTCATCGAACATTACTGGCCACCAAAATCGCTGTACTAGGTTGGCACTCGTCTTCTTGTAGCCGAAGTGTCCCGTTGCGTCATGGCATTCTCCTAAGAACAAACTATGCAAAGGTTCACTAGATGGAACTACTAATCTTTTTATTCCGGCCTTATCAAGATAGAGGAGCCCGTCCACCATCACAAACTCGCTTTCCGTGGCCTTGTCTTTTGCCTGAAGTTTGTGAATGATGTCCATCGTGACAGGGTCTTCCTGATAGGCTCCCACCAACGATTGCTTACTTCATCAGATACGCCAAAGTCAGAAACTAGCGCACTTAGGTAGTCTGCTCTACGTGATAGCGCATCAGCAACCTTATTATACTCTCCCTTCAGATACTCAAGCTTGAAGTCATATTGGTCTATGACCTCAATCCATCGCTTGAGTGCATCAGAAAGAGTCGGTTGAGTCTTGATCCATTTGAGGGTCTGATGATCAGTCCTCAAGTAGAAGAACCTTCCCAATAGGAAGTGTCTCCAATGGACAAGTGCTTTATATAGAGCATAGAGTTC